ATATTATGTGATAGACAACAAATTTCAATTGCTACAATAACAACAGAATAATTTAAGGTGATTACGTTACTGGGTTCACTCTGTATAATTTATGGCAGGGTATTGAGCAAGGAATACAAATCCATATGAATACCACCTGCTTTAGTGAACATAGCTCGAGAAATAATATCATAAGAAACATTCGTTTAGTAATGTACTTAAATAAGAATATCTGTATAACAAATTACCAACTACCATCAAGAAGCATAGTCACAAAGATTTACAAGTGCATGAGTGTCTGTAGAAAAATATTCACTTTAAAAAATATTAGAAAATATTTTAAAATATTAAAAAATGAAGCCACGTCAAACTCTACAGAGCAGTTAAAGTAAATCGTTTAACAACATAACAAGAGAATTTGTAAACGATCAGCTTGATGCCATTGAATGTTAACAATATCGAGTGCACTCTGTTGTCAAGCGTTTCATTTCAGATTCAGGCTCCAAACATCTAAAATCGCACCGTCACTGACCCGAATACCGGTTCCCTGAGGCCATTATCCGGCAGTTTACTCGGAAATTTTGTGAAACCATGTTACAACGTCACGAACGTAGTTCCTTTTGCTGAAACTCGAAATTTCCTTCGAATTCGTCGCTGATCCTCCATTTTATACGAAATCGTGACATCGGCGTCGTCGTGGTATCGGCAAAGGACGCTCGTGGCAAGAGAACAATTTTGATATAATCCATAAAAAGCGACGTGCAAGCGTCGTGCCCGTTCATGTGATCAAAATCGAAACATCATGATATCGAGGTATCCTTTCTAAACAACACAACTTCGAAACCGATGATAATATAGTTGATATAGTTAACGCTAGAACTACCATCGATAAATGTATATCTAGACCCCAGAGCCAGTAGTTTCTTAGTTTTATATAGATAATATAGCACAAATTTTAATGTGCATTTAAAAGCTTATTGGTAAAATGAGACATTATAAAATAGAAACTTACAAAACTGTAATTTCTTTCGAATATGTCAAGAGGGTTTACTGATCAAAGGTGGCAAAAATTGGGTTTTAATCAAAACTGGCATTAGACGGTTTCAAAATGTTAAAATGTTCTTGTGAATAACTTATGTCATCTAATATGCACAAAAATTTTTATAAAATTTAGGAATGAAATGGTTAACTCATTTCGTCACTTTCATGTCGTAATAAGAGTTGTAAAAGTTCTGAAGAAATGTATTGTTACAACATTTTAATCATCATTATAGAAATGCATTCGACAAACATTTTGATTTATTTGGTAGTTCTAATGTTAAATATAGTTTCTAGAGACAATGAATTTTCTAAAATCATGAATTATTAATACATAATACGTTGTTAATAACTCTATATCGAGAATATAAGGTTAAATATAGGTTCTAGAGACATTAACAAATCTTCTAAAATTGTGGAATAATAATACATACTACCATTGTAGCGTTAACCCTTCGGCTGCCTATACATAGTCAGATCAATGGCGACTTATCGGTGAATAGAGTCATACAATTGTTTACGCAGCGTTCGACAGTGTATTGTCATATGTATGTTTACCTGCGATGTTATGAAGTAGGATTGGCCTAGTTGGTAGCTTCAATGGTCCGTACTCTGAGAGTTAGGAGCATTAATTGGAGCTTAAGAGTAAAGACAAGGAGTGTCCACTTGTAATGATTTTACGATATATAATACAATTTGTTGGTGGCAGTTGCGACTACAGAACTGTCGAATCACAAGTTACGAACTAGAAATGTCCACATAAGATAATAGTTAAATGCTAGTGAACAAAAGTATTAAAAATTGATTTTCTCAATAACGCCATTTTGTAACATTCCTTGTCTTTTCCCATTACCGTTCAATTAATACACGAAGAATAGATAATGATTTTACACATAATCTGTAACAATGGTCCTGCTATATGAAACGTATCATTTAAATGATACAGTTTTGTACAAACTAATTAGATTCAACGTTTTACGGTTTTCTCAATCTCGTTGACCTTTCAAATTTTCTGCTCGAACCTGTCGAGAAAGCGCTGGTCCGGTTCACCAGCGTCGCTTGTTAGGCACCTAACGACGATACCCATACTACCACGGGACTCTTAACAATTAACTGGTGATTGACGACTAACTCTCACCGTTAATTGCAATCATACTGCACTCTTAACCCTTTCAGCCCCAAATACTTTCGCGACATGCATACTCTGTGGACCAAATATTTCCCGAAGCAGTATGAGGGCACTCGATTAACACATTCCAACTACTTTTCGCTCAGATCGTGTCGGTAATCGGTGACTGACCCCATGGAATGTAAGAAGTAATACCTTCGTACCTAAAAATAAAAATGGTAAGATTATGAAAAAAATAGAAATCTAACCGAATTTTTAATAATATTAATGAATACATTACAATTGTACAATACGTATTTTAACGTAATTTGTTGATATTTATATCAAACGTCGTCGTAACATTTCTTGCAAAACTTCTGACTTCAGACACCGTGTAATTAGTGACGTAATTTTCGACGTTTACCTGTGTTATCGCTAATAAACCGTAATACGTCGCGCGAACGGAGAAGTCAACAAAATGAACTCGTGGCTTAACGTGTTTTAATTGCTCTTCAATCTGCAATGCCTACGACATAGGTGGTATATTAACCCTTTGGCTTCTAGAATGAATCTAGAAAATCATTACGAATTTTCCGCTAGACGATTAACTATAAATTATTAAGTGTCAATCTACAAAAAACTTTAATGAATCAGTATTGAAAGAAAATCACAGTATTATTTTGAAAAGTAAAAATTTGGTAACTTTTTCGGTTTGCCTGTTATACAAATTCGTCCGAGTAGGTGTGTCCTAAAGGACTAATTTTTTATGAAATAGAATTGCTATTTAATAGAACCAATGGCATTGATAGGCGATATGTGTAAAGTCACTTTACGCACAATGGACTGTTACAAATCTTACCATGTTCGAAATTTCTGATTATTTTATTCCAGATTTTTTATATTCGAACGAAAAACTTTGTAATTTGTGTGTAATTTGTCTGAAGGCATAAATAAATCGGAACAATTCTATTTCTCTTCTAAAATTTGTAATTTTTTTTATCTTTCAAGATAGACAGCTTTCGACTTCAAATTCGTAATCCCCAAAGTCGAAAACATAAGAAACAAATAAGTCCAAATTTTCTGTTATTCTTACCCCACCCAGGCACGAAAGGGTTAAACTATTCCAATAGTATATTCACAACAATCGCTTTTTCTATCCCACTAATAACTCGAAAACTGTAAATTTTTAGTTTCAGTCATTGATGCAACAAATGAGCGAAAATTCGTCAGAGTAGACAAGCCGGCGTGTTAGAGCTAATAGAAGGCTGGTCGTCCAATATGTCTGCAGTGTATTCTGGTATCGAAGATGCGATGTAGATCAATAGTCCATAGGGAACGTATCGTCAAAATAATCGTCCGAGTTCATAATCGTGATAGAGTTAAAGCGCGTAACGCGAATATCAACGTCCTCATCTCCGGAAGTGGAGTCGGTCATCACTATCGTTTATCAATTCCAATATTCCAAACAATGGCTGAATCAATTTGTTAAACGTTTATCATTCACACCCAATGCAGGAGAAACTCATTCTCCCGTATATACGACATCGTTTACATTTCAACATTTCATTACTTATTGGATAAATGATATATTTGGTATTTTGTTGGACGTCACCAGCTTCCATTCTGTTTTTTATTCTTTAATTTAAAGACCTATTTTTGCAACAAAGAATCCCCGATCATAATGCCTGGATAAGTTTGATGTTTGACGAGAATTACGTATTGAAACGTTGTTTTATGTACAATGGGAGATAAAAGTGTTTATACACGTGACTGTTGGTTTTAGGTGTTATTAATGTTTCCAGCATAGGTAACATTGAATTGAAAATTAGTGCAATGTAAATAATTCTTAACTAAGTATCATATTAAGAATACTGTTGTCATTTGAAAACAAGCGGTGTATGGACACTTTGATCTCCCGTACGAAGTTTTCCCAACAAATTTTAAATAACTGAAATTATATATATTTTTAACGTTTTTAGAGCTAGTATGAGAAGTGAATTGAAAGACATGAATATAGAATATTAATTAAATGTTTTTTTTTTTTAATTTTTTTATTAACTGGTAACCGTTCAAATTTCAAACATCTATTTAACCTATTCTTCTTTCAAAATGACGGCGAACATAGATAAGTGAGGACAAATATCACTGAGACAACAGTGGCTTCTAATTTCCTCGAAAATAAATATTGAACTTCACATTATAGTGTACTACCTATTGATACACCGAATATAATAATACTCTTGACGATTTCGGGGGTGTTTTGCACGAATTGCTTGAACTAAAGGAATGTTCGTGACGCAATACACACCGATTTCTCTGTAACTTTGTTCAACTTTTTATGACACCGATCTAATAATTTTACCATTCCTGGTTGGTACTATTTTTAGACTTTAAGAGAGAACCGCCCTTTCTAATCAAAACGTCCCTTTTACTTATTCGCTTGTAACTCGTAAACTAGAAAAGATATCCAAACAAACTTTAGATAAATTTTATATCGTTTTTAGTTATCCATATATTGGTATAAATACATTCTCAAAAAAGTAATTTTTCTGCAAATTTTTTTTTTAAAAATAAATTTTCTGAAAAAGTTTTTCATACCGATGTATGGACAACTAAAACGGATATAAAATTTATTTAAACTATATTTCCGTATCTTTTGTAGTTCACGAGTTACAAGCGAATAAGTGAAAGGGACGTTTCGGTTGGAAAGTGTTGTCTCTCCCATAAACTCTAAATTAACACCAACCAAGTGCAGGAAAATTCTTTGGTTGGTTCCATAAACAATCGAGTACAGTTGCAGAAAAATCAACGGGTATCACTTCACGAACATCCCCTGTGAGAGAAATAAGCATGATCAAATGTTCCTTTGTTCCAGGGTGTATCGGTTCTAGTGAGTGCGTACACTCTCGTCGCAATTAGCATAGATCGTTACATAGCCATCATGTGGCCCCTGAAGCCGAAGTTGAGCAAACGGCAGGCCCTGCTTCTGATTCTAGCTGTTTGGATGCTCGCAATGGTAATATCGTTCCCGATCGCAATCGTTTCACGATTGACCCAACCGTCGATATACTACGAGATGTGCGATCACTATATCTGTGAAGAAGTTTGGCCGTCCATGAAAAACAGGTAAAACGTTTAACATTTATCCACGTGACAGAGCAGAACATTTGCTGCAGAGAGAACAGCAGTAATTTTTTATACAAATATAAATCGAAGTTATAAAATAAACCTTTCTCAATTAGAATATTCTTAATAAAACTTCAAATTTCGTTAAAATTCGTCGATTCATTTTACGTTACAAATGTTTAAAACTACTATTATTATTTACTGATTCTTTTATATTATTCCTTGTTTCTGTTTCATTATATTTGTAAAAATATGAACGAATATACGTATGTATATTGAAGAAAGAAAGTTAAATATTAAAAGTTTACAGATTGGAAATACAAAAAGATATTTATTACTTTATTGCTTTTTATTGCAGTAATAATCCTTATTAGTAGTAAAGACTTTCGTCTTGGTATGCACAATTACTGAGTTTTCTCATTTAAGTATTTCGAAAACTTAGCACCAAAAATATTTATTCTCCATTTTCCGTTTAATTTCATTTGAGAAGAACTTTTTCGATATCTTTTGCAGTTTACGAGTTACGTATTATAAAATTAAGTATTTCGAAGACATAGCATCAGAAATATTTATTTTCGATATTCCATTTAATTTCATTCGACGAAGTCTCCTTTTCATCATTGTAACGATTGTTCTGCCCTCGTCGTACATTTCTCGAGTGTATCTACTAGTTTGCGAGTTGAATGCACCATAGTATGTATGTTACAGATATTACTACTCCATAGCGTTATTGGTTCTGCAGTACGTGATACCAATAATGGCCCTTATGTTCACGTACACTAGCATAGCTGTTATGGTCTGGGGTAAGAGACCGCCTGGAGAGGCTGAAAATATCAGAGATCAAAGAATGGCTCGATCAAAGAGGAAGGTAAGACGTTACAAAGCACCATATTAGAAAATTTTTTCCGAAAACAGACGGAAATTGCGTTATCGATATATTATTTGCTGCACGAATTGATAACTCTGAATTTTGTTAATATTGAATGTTTATGTTTCTAAAAATTAAACAAACAAATGTTGGTATTTGCCTCGTCGAATTATTTTTCTAAAGGATTTATGTAAGAATGGATGTTTGTGTTGTGTACACCTGATCGTCTGTTATTGTTGGCTCGTGTATATTTTTAATTTCTCTGTATATGCGATTGTTTTTGCAGAATTTACAGAAACAACTTGAAACCATAGAATAAGAGTTAGAGATATTCTTCTATTGAATTGGTCTCACATATTTACGAATTACAAATAATAGACTGTGGATTTTATGCATTTGTCGTAAATGTGTATTTGCAAAACTCAACGCGGTAACAGTTTTCGAAAAAACTAGTATGAATGTTACTTTATTTTGGATCTACCGAACCTTTTGAACAAGGAAACTAATCTGTGACATAATTTTAATTGAATAAATAAATCTATAAAAATTTGAGTTTGCATAAAAATCCGCAGTCTACTCAAAAAACATTCTTTTTTAATAACATTTATTTCAAGAGGAATACATTATTTTTGATATAGGAATGAGTTTCACACTTCACCGAATGATCCGAAACGATAGGTTTCATTCAAAAAATGCTTCAGAATAGAAATTTAATCACCATTTATTACCATCACCATTGAAAATCGTGACAAATTGTGGAATGCAGTATTAACTGTAATTAAAAATATCTCGTTACATAGATCCCGCCGAATTGTTATTTGCAATGAAGAAAATGTACATCACGTTAAACATTTATTACAATGCTGCCACGTAAATAATGCTAATCTTTGCGAACGTGCGTCCTCATTAAGTACTGATACCTGCCATCATGTTCATAGAATATTATTTTCTTTATTACATCTCCGTAATCACTTTGAAGGATAACAGTGAATAACCAAACACTCTGTATATACTTCATTGCAAATCAAAGAATTCCTCAAAGTTAAATACAATTTACAAAAAAAAATTTGACCCAGAATCCGTTATGTTACGTGAGAAAAGCCTACGCGGTAGGAAGAAAAGGATAATCTTTAAGTTTTTTCCCACGAACCAGAAGATTTAAAAGGAAATAATTTAAGAAACAGATTAACCAATATTGGTTGAATAATACAAGCAAATGTTATAGGATTATGCCATCCTTGATAGCCGAGTCCTCGTCTATTCCTGCCATTCCTCTGCCATAAGGACTCTTCGAGTTTGTTTGGAAATAATATGAACCCGAACTGAAACAAGAGAAAAAGAAGGGTTTGGTACAGGATGTAAAAATGAACATATTGACTGCCACACTAACGTTCAATGAAATGATTAACAGCATGATTGAGAGATAAGGCGAGTTTTTGTTAAATTTGTTGTATAAACTTAATCGAAATTAGATGTCCCTCGTTATAGACAGATTTATTCTCTACCTTATTGCAAATATAACGTAATTATTAACTACGCGAATTAACAAAGTGTTAACTCGTATTTGGCAATCAATTTGTCATTAGTAAGAAACATGTTTGCAACTTAACTATAATGTAATTACAATATCTAGGAAATTATTGCCTTGAAATGTAATCGAACGATAAATGTAAATACTTATCATTCCTTTATCAACAAAACGGTTAAGAATTATTTAAATACGAGAGGATATACTAACGCTCCGATTGCTGGCATATCTTCCATTAGAATTGTGTCCGACTTGTTACACGCGTTGGCCTTGAATTCGTCATAACTATTACAGCTCACACCCACGAAAGCATTTGGGTTCCCCACAGATTCTACTTTGAAGAACACAGATCTGTAGTGACTGCAGCCTATTGTTGTGTAGGCGTAAGGATCTCCTGTAAGGTGTTAACGTGCAGTTAGCTCAATAAGATAGAAATTACAATTTAAACGATCGCGTCGAACAAAATTATACAACTCGTCATAAGACGCATAAATAATATCATCTACGGGTTCTATGAATCGAATTCTGACAAAATAAAGAAGATGTAAATTATTTTACATTCTGTTATAAGATAGTATTAAAGGATTATCATTAGTCAGTAATACCGAATGTAATTCCAAAGGTATAAATGGCCGGAGCACACCTGATAGGACTATTGCGTAAGCTCGGACAAGAAACGAGAGAATACGTGAATAGAAAATTAAATTATCAACTGTGCTCAGACAAACTCTGCCATCATTAAAACCTACTCGTCAACATCTACGAGAAAGCACGATAAAAATCTCACGATGAAGATCAGTGGCCCCGTCACAAGAAATACATTCTCCCTGGTATGTAAAGATCCTTGAATCTACGTCCGTATTTAGTATATCAAAAACTTTAAGAACTGATGTGAAAGGAAAATCAATCGAAAAGGACATGGTTGGCTCAGCGTCAGAGGAGATTTCGATTTCTTACGCTATGATACTCATTTTGTAATTTCTGTACCGAGGTCCACAATTGGGGAACAACCAGGTTGGCTTCTTTTTCCGCCGTTAGGATAAAAATCAACACCACCGCACGAATAGTCTACTCCAAGAACTCCCATGTCAGTATGTACACAGGTGACTCGTTGTGCGTCAATGGCTTTCAGTGTCCCCGTAGTATCATTATGGAAGAGAGGTCCGGCCGGATCCAAACCTGCAAAAATGATCATAATATACTTAACACATACAGGACGAGCCGTAATTATTTTTTCCAACCCCATGGCCTGGAGAAATGAATTTTTCTTTTTTTATGCTTTCAGTATCAATATGTCATTGTGACTATTCCAGAAAACATTTAATAATAGAAAATGTTTATTTATCACATTTTTTATTGGGGACCATAACCACCATCCGATTGTGGAATTTATCGTTTAGGTAAACCTACTTACTATTTGAAACTGTGGATGACTATAGTAAATCCTCGATGACTGCACTAAACATTAAATATTTCACAAACTACCGGCCATATGCTGCCGAAACAAATGTCACTGGCTTCAGAATTCCAAGCTCTATCACTGTGCTAAACTTCATTAGGTCAGCGTTATACTTGGGGACCTCTCCTTGTCAGTGCCGAGGAGCGTTCGAACACTCATCGATGATTAACTGTCCTTTTAAATGTTACTGATCTAGATAAATTCACTTGTGGCTATGCAAGACGTATAAGTTCTCTCCACAATTCCCCAAAAGTGGGCATTGGATTGAAAGGGCCCCGACACTATAGTTCCCAAACGGCCGCGAAGTTCGGCCATGATGAGAACTGCAGTTTACGTGAATATGTATTTAGAATCTTATATGTATACGGTCTGTGCAAAAAGATTTCGAATTGAAGTTTTACCATCAATTTTTTCGTATGATGCCTTTTTACCAGATTCATTTCCAAAGTTTCAGATAAATTATTGTGAACAATACATGTCTTTAAAAGAGAACTGTTTTTAGTATTCGACGATGAAGAGCATCGTCATTACACGGAATACTGCTATTTTAATTTCACTTTTGAAACATATGCTCCCGACCGTGTATATACATATAATAAGTAGACTGCGGATGTTTATGCATTTATAGTATTTCTTAACTTAGACACTGCACTATAATAAACGTTTCAATACAGTCGCATACTATTCATGTGTTACTCTTAACATAGTAATGTTTCTAGTACAGAATTCAAAATTCTGCTCCATTTTAATTTTTATACATCAGTATCTAAAATTTGGATTGGGCATAAATTTCCGTAGTCTAACTAAATATTTCAAATGAGCATTTATAGATGCTAAAGAAAGTCACGCAAACACATCCGGTCACCGAACAAATAGTTTTCTTTTATATTTTCTTCATCCTTCGTATTTAATGAAATTTAGTAATAATACCGCGGGGACTAGTAATAGTTTAGAACTATGAATAATAACGTCGATGTGTTAGGTATAATACTACTATTTCACACTTTTTATTTCAGGCTATGTATAGTTCTGGAATATCAATCTATAATATTAGTGACTTAAAACGATTTCTACTTACCTACTATCCATGCGAGTTTGGAATCTAGTAAACGACCAACCTTCCCAGAAACTTGGGCACCCAAAGAGAATCCTACCAAATGCATTTTACTTGCTTCTAGTCCTTCCGTCACCATATCCTTTATACATTCAGTTACAAGCATAGCGACATCATCGGACAACAAAACTGACGTAGGGTAAGGTTGAAGCGTAACGCAACTGTAATCTACTGCCATGACATTATAATTCGTAGCGTTGAGATAGGCTGTAATAATTTCGAAAGCAAATATTAGACGTATGTTACGATTTTTTACATACAGTAGATGTTTCATAAACTATTATACATTAAAATAATGTTAGTGATGCATTGATACTATAATATATTGGTTTATGCTTTCAAAATTCCAATAGTACTGAAAACGACACTGAAAGTTACGATTCAAATCTTATAATTAATGGTTTCTAATTTTCTACTATCAGTATATAATTTCTTCAGAAATTGTGCGCAACATTTCTACATCATGATGTATAAATACTCAATAATTTTTTTTGTGTGTTGTTGCGAAAGTATTTTCATTTTTCTAAACGAACACTGTATAACAAGAGAAATGATCAGATATGTATTCTGATTCTTGCGTTGCATACGTGATCTAGTCAAACTCAAACAAATGCGTACCTTTCATTACGGCTGTAACGGCAGGAAACTCAGTATCTTCTGTCCAACCATGGATATACATCATTGTCGTTTCATTAAAATCCATTTGTGATGCAAGCTCCGAACACTTCTGAACGTTGACCTCCTTATAAGACATATCCCTAAAGGAAAATATATTTGTAATTTGATGCTTGCGATACGAACTTGTTCGTAAACTATCTAACGGGCGGGCTTCAACCACGTCTACCGTATATTAGATTACAAAGAATATACAGGGTGCCATCGAAAGTTATGTACAAGCGGACATGCGGTGATTCTGTGTGAAAGAATAAGTTCAATATATCGAATAAAATGTTTTTCATTTTAGTCTTCCATTTCGAGACGATCGATTTCTCCCGAAAAAAATGCTGTATGTTTGGTGAAAATTTGTACTTTTTCCTAACTAACGCAAAAATAATTATCCGAATCGACCGATTATAACCAGACTTATGATTTTTTGAATTGCCAAACAAAAATGAACCATTTTTACGATTTTCAAACCACTGTAATTCAGGCAAAATGTCCCGCAGAACATTAAAGAATTCTCAAAATGCTTTTCTCATGGGTACCTAACTTTCTATAAAAGAAATGAAAAAATAAAAACTGTTGATGGTCATGTTCAAAAAGTCTCAATTTTGATCAATTTTCCATAGAACGACTCTAATCTGAAACGCATGTATTCGTCATGGTAGTAAGTAGAAACAGAATGCAATGAATAGACGCGCTAACCAAACCCTATTCAACTGCACGTAAACTGCACGTATCCAGCAGATATTCTACACTGATTTTCTCGAAATGGTAGCCTCAAATAAAAAAATTTGCTTCTATATCTTCTGATTATCTTTTCATGGGGAATCATCTCCTGCCCGCTTGCACATAACTTTCAAAGGCACCTTGTATTATTAAAGCTACCGTTAAATAATATATTTCACATTCACTATGTAGTACATTATATTATTGAAAAATATATTAAAGTGTAGATATTTACTTAGCATAAAGATGAATTTTCACGCAGGACGCGATCACTGGATAAAAGAGATCAGCTGCGAACAGAACTGATTTCAAGTATTGTTAGTATGAAATACTAAAAATGTATGCTAACTTAATATAAGGCGTTGGACCTGAAGCAATTACATTTATATCTGTGGCATCATAAAAATTCAATGTATAGCCGCGAAAACTGTAAAATTGAAAGATCCCTTGGACTACTCCCTTCTCGATAAGTGACTTAACACTCTTACGAAATACAGCTGGAATTAAATATACAAGAATTTGTGTTGACTCCTTGTTGAAATGTTTGTTGTCTGTTTGAGCTTGTGATTTTGAAAGAATACTTCGGTACCCAGATAGCTCTCAAGGAACGTAGCATAGGTGGAATTTTTTCAAATTGAGAAAAACGTCATTGGCTCTTTAGATGCACCAAGCATTGGAAACTGGGGTTCATGTGAATTCGTGGAGATGTGGACGTTGTAGGGGATAGAAAGTGGAATTCTTGGAAGTGAATGTGAGCCGCAAAAATTAGAAAATTGGAAGATCTCACAAATTACTCGCTTATCCATCACTACCCTCCATTTTGCAGACTTCAAAATGTCTCGCACTAACGTGTTCAATTTAATTAAGAATACTTCCACTATGTCGAATCGAAAATACATATAAAAGTATACTCAGAAGAAACATGCTCGAAAATGTATAGTCCCTCCCTTTCGAAGTGCAATTGAATGATAAAATATGGACTAAAAATAGTACACCCCTTTTGATAATTTATCGATAAAGAAAGATCATAGTCTTGACAAATCGTGCCACAACATTTAATTCTCTTTCTAATGAAGGTATTTCTTTTTTAAACACCAACCTGTTACCAAACAGCAGCTGACTGCAAGGAAAAAAAAGAGTCGTGTATTCGGCATTTTGAAGTAACAACTGAAATCGTGCCTGCTTTTCCAACTGCTCGGGTATATATAGGAATTTGGTAACATTCGCATGACATTCATAGCTGTTAAGTTTTGTCTTATCTGCTACCAATTGTTGCATATTCACATTTCTTATCATACTGAAAATGTTTGCTAAAACGGTGCCAAAAGTGCACCACCAAAATTATAGAGTACTGTATTCGTAATCATCATTCTCGTTTCATAATGATCGGTGCACCACTGATAGTGCCCGTGGAAAGTATCCGTAATGTAAAACTTATTCATGTGAAGAATTCACAATATTTTCAAATTCAACACGTTTAACAAATATTCAAAAAGTATATTGCCCTACGTTAATGTCACTTAAGGCACAAACAAAGTTGTCACAACTTTTATTTCAACTTTTATTCAACAAAAAAAAACGTGTGTATCTTTGAAGGAGAAGAATTTTGCGCAGCTATTGTTCACTAGCATCGGCGCACTGTGCGTCGAGTTTACTATGACAGTTCGGCACAAGAATCATAACTTCTGAACTAATCAATTTTCGGCCTATGTAAATACCCTAATACGTTGTTAAAGAGGATACAAAAAAATATATAGCTCCATTAAAAAAAAGTGATACAGTCATTCGGAATAATTCTGTTTGTGATCTATAATCTTTCGGTCCAGTTTTCCCCGGCGAAAGCTGAATTCCCTGTCGACGAAATCAGATACAACCACAGTACCAACTTAACTACTGCTACCATTTACGTTTGCATATATGTTTACATACATATATAGTAACAACTAATGTAACATGTGAAAGTTCGTATCAGAGTTTCCGCGACGTTAGGGAACCTAAAGTTTTCGTCCGTCGTATGAGATACGTGGGCAAGGTAATAAGGAAATTGGCAGACACGTCTATTGCTTACACAATATTAACCGTGGGCCTCCAACCCTCGCGAGTATGGTAACAAAAACAACCATAAAGGCAGCATCACGGGGGACGTTGCAACATCTACAGTCACTTCCCCTAAATAAATCTTATTAAATCGTGGGCAATTTAACTGATAGGGATCGCAGGACACAAAATAGGTCGCGATGAAACTGACCTGGAAGATATAAAATTGGGCGTAAACAGTAACTTCCGTTGATACTATTCCATCAACGAAAAGAATTTCCGATGACGTCATACAGTGGGTAGAAAAAGATATTCGCACACATTTTAAAACAACAACTTTTTTAAAATTTGATAACCAAGTGATTTGACTGTTTTTTGTGAAGTTAGAAGGATTAGATTTCTGAATGGTGTGTAAAAAAATGTTGAAACATTTGTAATTGGTCGAAATTCTGAAGAAAATTGTAATGGTCGCTATTTAAAACTTTTTTTTTGTAAAAAGCGACCATTACTATTTTTTTCCTAATTTCGAGTAATTGCAACTTTTTCAACATTTTTTTTAGACATCATTTAGTAACCTAATCTTTATAAGTTCACCAAACAACTCTTGGTCTGATTTAAAAAAAGTTGTTCTGTTTTAAAGGTTGTGCGAATACATTTTTATCCACTGTAAGCGAACTATGTGTATTGAAAACATTTTTATAATCACATATCTTGAATCCGCTAGACTCGATAAAGTAGGAACTTGATTAAAGTTTAAAATTTTAGTGAATTCATTTATTATAGGTACTTCACTTCGTTCACCTTTGTAGTCAGCTCGATCGCTTTTTCAATTGATTTCAGTATTCCTGATTCACTTTTCTGAAGATAAATCAAATTATTGGAAGCAGAATTAACGGCTAATGACCGAAGTAAATCAACAGTTTCTTTGTTGCTTAACGTTGTTGTTCCGATTGTTTCATACCGCTGCAGGGTTCATGTGAATCTGTTTTAATGAGTTTTCTGCTCCTGTTTTTCACGTTCCGTTTCCATTGTTTTTACTAATTACCTTGGCTAACGGCGTGTCGTTTAGCGGTTACACAGTCGATATAAACCAATTGAAAGAGTTGGTATTTATATAATGCAGATCAGTTTTCAACAACATGTGAATCCGAATGAATTTATTATTGTCTGGGTAAAAATTAATATTCACTATATGTAATCGTCATTCTATACTGAACACTGAATTTCATACCAAGTTGATATGACCACATTCAAATTTCAAAGTTATAATTAGATGTGTCAATAAGCGAAGGTGGATTGTGTAGCAACATCAGAATGTTCGACAGATTGGCTAAAACAGCAAATTATAATAACGAAGTTTTTATTGTATTTTATTTTCGTAGTCACATTAAAATTAATAGATTGGTAATATTTATGCAGCTGGTTAGAAATTTCATTACGTTAAAATACAGTGAAATATGGTTTAACAGTAATTAAATTCTTATATTGTTGTGTTTTTGTGAATGTCAAAATCATTTCAACTTTAAGTTTATACAACAATAATACATAGAAAATTCGAAATAAGACTATCATAATTATTTTTCACAGAAAACGAAATGTTACATTCAGAAAATATATTTAATGCTTTAGTTGCGCTAAACATTTCAAGAGAGTACGCGTAAGAGTTTATAGCGTTATATTATTACGATGTGTAAACTTTATAATGCTATAAACGACCAGGTAAACAGGTAAAAGCTTCCTAGAAGTTTGTAAACCTGGCGTAAAAGATACATACATCCGATTAAAGATCCCTATTATAGATTCTACTTTATTAGTATACACACATATAATCAGTGCTGTTAAAACAATGAAAATTTACGGCAGTGCTCCCTCTCATTTTACGGTTCCTAAGTCTCGTTTTTTCTGAGCCAGGAAATATTTTAAAAAATTGTCTGACTTTATGTCACAAACATTATTCTATGTAACATCAAACACTAGCTGGCATAAATGCTTGTATTTAAAGGAACGTTTTGTGATAAAATAGTTTATTTTTCAGTCTCTCGGCCATGAAAGCGGACTCGGTTAATATTTAGTACACTTATTTATCTTAACACTTATTCATACATTCTTTTTTCCACTTAATGACTATCAGTCTTCCTATTACCTATTCATTCTTATCAATTCACCCCAATTTTCTGTTGTTCTTTTTCCTCCTCTTCACTTCCAATCTCTTTAACCAATCAAAGCTTTTTCCTTTCCCTTATCGTTTATGTACTACCTCGTCTACACTAATACCCTCCTAAGGAACGTCTTATATTTAAAATTTTATTTTATAAAATATCGTTGTGGAAATTAATAGAAAATTTACATGTGAGGTTGGACCAGTAAAAAAATAATACCTATGCTGTAATTATGTGTTCGTTGAAAATCGTTACCATGACATTAACCGTGACTACTATCTGTTATCAGCATAGAAGTGCAATATGCAGTATACGCTTTTCGTAATTTGAATGTGTGAAGGAAAACATTCAAATGCAAGTGAGAAAATATTTAAATTGCATAAAAAGTTTCGTGAAGTGTATGAACAATTCATCGGTTCTTTTTCTTTTCATTATACTACTCGGAAAATGAATATTCATCTATGCATGTTTTAATAACAAAATGGAAAAAATTTTCTATAAAAAACGTTTAAAAATAATCGGATAAATGGAGTACGTTTGTACAAAATGAAAAACGAGAGATGATGTTAACCAATTTGGTAATTCTTTATCTTATAATCACCTTACATTTAACAGACCCAAGTTAATAATTGTAACGTTAGTAATCATTCATCTTCGTCTGGCGAGCAGTCTCTACCTCGCGATAGTGACAAAGCCTGCATGGCATAAATGAATGAAGTCTACATCATTCGGTTCCTTCATAACTACAACATAATGAACACTTTATACGTTGCATCTTCAATGCCGCAGAAATTTAATAAGTTACCCTAAGTAACAATGAAGTGAAGCCTTTGTTCCCATGGTACATACATATACGCAGACTCCAAGGGACATTTGAAATTAAAATCAAAATGGCCGACAGTTTCGATCACAATGTAAACGTCCTATAATATATTCCACATTTCCAATGTTATCCAATAAATGTGCTAATTAATCTCGATCGTAACAAATCTGTATCAATTTAACTACGTAAAAACGTCTTCATACGTAATTATTATACGTAATTGGAAATATTATACATACATATTTAAGTGTTTTTGTTTAAGAAAGGAATACCAAACATTTGTTTCAGGCTTTTTCAAAAACCTTGTTTCAATATATTTTGCTGGGTTTTACTTTAATATTTCCATTTCATGAGAAGACAAGTTACACATTCATAAACCTATCCTTGAGAGTAATATACATTATTAATGATAATGACGCTTCATCTTGATAAAACTTAGGACGTTGATCGTGTTCCTTCCAATCCTTTGGCAAAAGGACTTTGTGCATTTGTTGTAAGGTAATAAAGACCAGTACTGAAAATAGAAACAATTGAATTTCATCGTTAATAAGAGATTATAAGAACAAGATTATGCAAGCTGATAAATACAAATGTTGCACACTATACTATCGTAATTATTATTCTAACCATAAAGAAACATCCGTATTCGGTTCATTTAAAATCTAAACTGTGTAAAAGTTAAATCTTGTAAACCCTACTAGTTTAAATATATGATGAATTACAGATCTAGGTATATACTTGTTTAAAAGTGAAAAAATTATACTAACGCGTTAGGTGATGTAGCATATCCCATGGGAATTATGTTGGACGTGTTACATAATCCTAATGCGAACTTAACATCATTATTACATTGAACACTCAAGAATCCGTTTGGATTTAGAATTGATTCCGCGTAGAATCTCCAGGACCTATGATGGCTGCAAAAATCTGTAACACGTAAAATTATATAGTGAGAAACGACAGAATATATACGGTATTTAATATTTACTTTCAACAATAAATACTAGATGTTATTTATAATAAGCCTGGAGCACGTTCTGTCCTTAAATTAAAAATTGATATGTCTAATAATTCGAGTAACTAACACAATGAAAAACTCATTATATCTTTCATTCTTACGCAAATAATGATTCCCGTTTT